GCCCCAGGGGCCTGGTCCCCCCCCAGAGGAATTTCCCCATCAGAATCAGCCACAAGAGTGGCTCCAGGGATGGGTGCAACTGGCCAGGACACACTTAATTTGGGCCCCCAGGCCACATTCACCCCCACTGCAGCAGGGCTTCGCCCTCCTGAGAACCAGGCTTTGAATCCGGACTATCTTCAGTCCATGATAGCCCAGGCTGTGGCTCAATTTATGACCTCCAATGCCCCACAGCCACCCCCCAATCCATGTATCTTCCCAATCTCCAGAGATGATGGATGATCCTTATCAGATCTGGAATCAACAGGGGCTGAACTATCTGGCCTGATTATGTCAGAGGACGAGGGCAGCACTCCATCTGACCCCAATCCTCCTGTCGGTCTTTTTGATCATTCACTCTTTAATTCCCTGCTACTCAAGGCCTGCACTACTGCAAACCTCCCTCAAGAGCAGGAGACCCCACTTACAACATCCAAGGGTCCCCACGCCATATAAACTGAGCCCTCAGTCTCTCAGAAACATATTCCCTGCCCTCCCCTTTTTCTGAATATAGTTCAAAAACAATGGGAGAACTTAGGATCCCTCTCAAGTCCTGGTGCAGTAGAGAGAACATTATTCAATGTTGCCCTCTTTCTGACCTCCCTATTGGAGATTCCTGAGATTGATGAGCCCTTGAACTCATTGTTTCCCAATGCTAACAATCCTGGGGATATAAATGAGGCACTTAGGGCAGAAGATAAAAAGATTGAGTCCGCATTACGCAGGTCCCACCTGGCATAAGCCTGGGCAACAAAGGCGGCAACATCCATGGCCTTCTTTGCCAGGGCTTCGGTCCTATGGTTACGGGAGCTCCAGGACATGATCCCTCCAGACCAGCTCAGAGCTCACCAGAATCTGGGTAAGTTAGTGGCCACGTCTCAGTACCTAGCCGACGCTTCCCTGCACACGGCCAGATATACTGCCCGGACCATCGCGGCAGACATCTCAGCACGAAGGCTCCTTTGGCTCAGGAATTGGTGAGCAGACACCAAGGCCAAGTGGCGTCTGGCCTCTAAACCCTACACAGGTGGACATATCTTTGGTAAGGCACTAGAACCCTACTTAATAGAAGGTAAGGACAAACATAAAACTTTGGTTAACTCAACAAAGAAAGGAGACAAGCGCTCAGGGAACAGCATGTCGCAGAGTAATTACAGAAGGCAGCCCTTTCGGCCAGCTCCATCCTGGGACTGGGCCCAGGCTTCTCGCTCCTCCTTTCAGAGACAGGAATGACAGCAAGATCATTCAGCATACAGAGGCAGATCACAGATCCAGACCAAGCGGTCCTTTCGAGGTAAGTGATCTCGCAGTCTCAACTCCCATAGGAGGCCGGCTGGCCCTTTATTCCAGCACTTGGGCAGCCACCACTACAGATGCATGGGTGTTAGACACCTTCATCCAGGGTCTGAGACTAGAATTTTGTTCCCAACCACCTGACAAATTCCGCTCTTGCCCTATTCCAACGAGCAGGACCAGAGCTGTTCTTATGTCAGAAGCCATAGTTCATTTATTACAAATACAGGCAATTGAACCAGTACCACAAGACCAAGAAGGACGAGGGTTTTATTCAAATCTCTTTGTCATTCCCAAGACTTCGGGGGGCTGGAGGGCAATCTTAGACTTAAAAGGTCTAAACCTTTACTTGAGGTATAAGAAGTTTAAGATGCAATCACTTCAATCAATCCTGGCTAGTATCAGGCAAGGTGACTTTCTTACCTCGATAGACCTGACTGAGGCATATTTGCACATTCCTATCTTTCCTGACCACCTCAAATTCCTCAGATTCAGTTATGCCCGATGCCACTACCAGTACAGAGCTCTTCCATTTGGCCTCTCATCTGCACCGAGAATATTTACAAAGGTACTGGCAGTCTCGCAGCCCACCTTAGACAAATTCCCATCAGAATTCATTGTTATTTAGATGACATACTAATTCAGTCATCATCATTCCAAAATGCTCAGTCAGACCTCGCCCTAGCCATCAAGGTGTTTCAGGAGCACGGTTTTTCTGTTAATTTCCAGAAAAGTCATACTGTACTAACAACTCGGCTCCTCCATTTGGGCACTGTTATAGACACAGACAATTGTATGGTCTACCTATCTCAGGACCAATAGAACTCTATTCAGACCCTTGTATGTCGGATCCGAAAGGACAGAGTAGTCACAATGGCATCCCTATCACAACTACTGGGGAAGATGGTGTCCTGCGTGCAAATTGTACCATGGGCACGTCTTCATGCCAGAGAATTACAGTGGATTCTCCTTCCATTTCAGAGACTTCACACCAGCACATCCCACCAGAAGGTCCGAGTTCCACGGTCGGTGTTGAACTCCCTTCGATGGTGGGACTCTCCGGCACTGTCACGGGGAACAGAATTCAAAGAACAAGACAGGATCACCATCACCACAGATGCAACCTGTTTGGGTGGGGGGCACACCTCCACACACACTGGGCCCAAGGTCAGTGGTCCAGGCAGGATCTAAAGAACAGTATAAACTGGCTGGAACTCAGAGCCATACACATGGTCCTAAAGAGATTCAGCAGCTTAGTACAGGGCCAGCATGTCCTGATTCTAACCGACAACATCACAGCCAAGGCCCATGTCAATAGACAGGGGGGAACAAGGTCCAAGCCTCTCAGGCAGGAGGCCAAATTGCTGGGGTCTTGGGCAGAACTGAACCTTGCCTCCATCAGGGCAGAGCACATACCCGGAGTGGCCAACCAGCAGGTGGACTCACTGAGCAGAGCCACCATGGACCATTCCAAATGGCAGCTGGATCCGAAGGTCTTCAGAGAGATCGTGGACACGATCCTTAGACTTTTTGCCTCCCCAACCAACTCACAACTTCCCAGATTCCTTTCCAGGTTCCCATCTCCATCAGCGGAGGGAACAGATGCACTCCGCAGTCCCTGGCCCAAGGAACTGCTCTATGTCTTCCCTCCCCTACCACTTCTACCTGCCATGACCAGGAAGATCCTTTGCGAACGAGCAGAGGTCCTCCTGGTTGCGTCACATTGGCCGAGACGCTCTTGGTTCGCCGACCTGATGTAGCCCTCCGCATCCCCTCCATGGAGGATTCCAGCCAGTCACATCTCCCTCATTCAGGGGAAGCTATGCCATCTGGACCCTCAATGGCTCCAGTTAACCATCTGGCACTTGAGAGGCAGGCCTTAGGCCGAGACTCATATTCGTCAAGGGTCATAGCCATGATCCAGCAATTCAGGCGACCCTCGACGAATAGAATATACGATGCCACGTGGAAAAGCTTTTGTAATTGGTGTTCGGTTCACAAAAATTGACCTTTTGGCGGTTTCAGTGCCAGTCATCTTGGAGTTCCTGATGGATGGTCTGGACAAAGGGCTTTCCACAAGCACCATCCGTAGGCAGGTAGCAGCACTTGCCACAGTTATTTTCTGCGGCAATGAATCCTTAACACATCACCCTATGATATGCTCCTTCCTAAAAGGAGCTAACAACGCCAGACCACCGACTGTACATAGATACCCCTCCTGGGACCTTCATCAGGTCTTACAGGCTCTTGTTTCTCCACCTTTTGAGCCTATTGACACTTGTTTGTTCAAACAGTTATCAATGAAGGTGGCATTTCTTGTTGCTGTAACTTCAGCCAGAAGGATCTCTGAGCTGGCTGCTCTGTCAGTGAGGAAGGACCTGTGTATTTTCCATAAGGACAGGGTAACCCTTAGGCTAGACCCCTCCTTCATGCCCAAGGTTAATTCCTTGTATCATAGATCTCAGGAAATAGTTTTGCCAGACTTCTGTCCTAACCCATCTAATGACATAGAGGTTCAGTGGAACAAATTGGATGTGCGCAGGGCTTTATATTGTTATATACAGAGAACCTCATCCTTCCGCAAGACAGAGGCTCTGTTTGTGTCATTTCACCCTTCATCATTAGGACAAAAGGTTTCCTCACCCACTATAGGCAGGTGGATTAGAGCTTGTGTTTCTCTGGCATACCAGACTCAGTCACTGCAAGCTCCCAGGCATATCACAGCCCATTCCATCCGGGGCGCAGCTACTACAGCTGCCTGGTCTACTCAGGCCTCCATAGAGGAGATTTGTAGAGCAGCAACATGGGCATCGCCCTCTTCCTTTGTCCGTCACTACAAGATGGATATATATATGCCTCTTCTACGGCTTCATTTGGCCGCAAGGTTCTAGAACACACATTAACGTTGGATGGGACCCAGGCCCAATCTAATTCCCCATCCTAGGGACACAGGCTTTGGTATGTCCCATCCGTGGGTTCTCCATCCAATCATGCTGGAGAAAGGGACGTTGTCTTACCTGAATGCCTTTTCTCAGCATGATGATGGAGAATCCACTACCTCCCATTAGGTCAGTTGGCCTGGTTCCCATTTGATCAGACGTGTCAAACTAAAGTCTGAGTATCGCCTTAGCCTAAAACTGGGGTGCAGTTGGCACAGAGGGGGCGTTACTAAATTTCAGACTTAGTCTAATTGGAGCAGATAGATTAAGACAACCCATCCGTGGATTCTCCATCATCATGCTGAGAAAAGGCATTCAGGTAAGACAACACCCCTGTCTCATTAGAAATCCTCTAATGAATCTTGTGGCTCTCTGAGGAGCTCATTAATGAGATAAATTAGCACATTTATCACTATCTCTCAAAGTTACCTAAACTTATCAGAGATTTGGAGAAAGAACATTTGATCCATGATACAGGTTTAGTGTTTGGAAACAATTGCCAGCCTGCTTAAATTACAAATAATGCATCATCATTATCATCATCATCATCGCCACTGTCATTGTCATCATTGTTATTCTTATTGTTATTACTAGGCTTATTGTAAATATTTTTATTCCCCATTTCTTACAACTTTGGATACATATTAATATAAACGAATGAAGTTGAATTTAAATTGTCTTCAACTAGATATTTTATAAGTGAGGAAGTTTATTTGCTGATACCGAAGAGTCATTTTTGGAGAAATGGGCAGCATGAAAATTTGATAAACAAACAAACAAACAAATAAATAAATAAATACATGTTTCGTGTAAGAATATATAAGAATAATTAATAATAATAATTAATATTGTAGTTTATGTTTTCTTTTTCTGTCCATAAATATACCAAAAATAATAAATAAATAAATAAGATAATGAATGGAATACAGTTGTTTTACATGCTTTGAAACACATCCTTGTGGAATGCTTCACATTGGCTCCACAAAGTATACAGTACCTCATAATGTTTATTACTAAAGGCAAAGTAACATGTAATATTTTCTTCCGTTTGCGGTCTCTCTTCACAGTTTTCATAAAACTACGAAATGGGTAGGTTAGCTTTTTGAAATGACCAAATTGCACATGTCACCTTTTCAATCTGGAAAATATAGTTACACCAATTCATTCACCTATATGGATTCCTGATCCATCTTCCCATAGAAATTGTAATTGCTCCTAGCAATTAAAAACTTGGTAAGTAGTTATGAATATGCATTCATATTCATAATGGATAGTTAGGACTGCAGAAAAAATAATTGCAACCAGTCTGCCTTCCATTGAGGACCTCTACATTGCAAGAACAAGAAAGACGGCTGAGAAATATCTACAGATCGCTCACTTCTTGGACACAAACTGTTTCAACTTCTACCCTCAGGACGACTCTACAGGACATTGTTTGCCAAAACAACTACACACAGAAATAGCTTCCATGCCATCACTCTGCTAAATACCTATAACCCACAACACTGTCTTATGTCTAAAGATATTTAACCATGTAGCATCTTCTCATTCTCATTCTCCTTGTCATGTGTTTATTTTCATTTGTTGGCTGTTCACAACTCAAAATATCTTTGCATTCTAAGACAAAATTTTAGAAATTCAGATGTTTCATTTCATTTAATGTTTTATGATGCTCCTTTGGATACAGATGAGACAAAAAAGGAATTTTGATTACAATTAATAAAATAGCACCAGCACTTCATGGATTTTCAGTAGAATGACATAAAATATAGATTGATGCACTTTTTCCCTAATTCCCACAATTACATAATGAAAATTTTGACAATTGCATCTTATTGTCTTCATATACTGAGAAATATATGAAAGTTATATAATACTTGATAATGATAAATTGTTATGCATTTTTTTCAAGGTCTCTTCCAGCTCTATTCTGATTAAAATGGATTAAAACAATATTATCTAGGATCAATATACCTAAGGAACAGTATTCCAGTCTTGACCAAAGAATTAAACTTCTGCTTAATAGGAATGCCTTATAAACATAGTATTATAGACCACTGTGTCGAAATGGAATAAATGTTATTTATATTGGACATGTTACTATATTGGAAATATATACAAATGATGAGATCAAAGCTACAAGTGGAAAGCAAACCATCCTTTAAAACTGAATGGACTTGTTACTGATAGATGTTCCCTGTAAAGAGAGCCAGTGTGTTGTTATAATGAAGAAGGTGGGGTAGAAATCAAGAGTCTATGACTTCTAGGCTCCATTAGGGGTGAAAGAAATTACATTAAAAATTAACAAGAAAATACATAGATGGAAGACTGAAAAAAAGTAATTTTATAGCATTTTAAAAATAAAATCTGTCTTTTAAAGTTGATTTATTCTGTTACAATTTTTTCCAAAGGAAAAATATGAGCAAAAGAGCATCAGTGGAGCAAAGTCAGTGTTATCATGGTGATGACTGAAAGCTTTCAAAGATTGCTGAATGGATTCAGCTGGATTTTTTATGATTGTATAAATGTTTGAAATTTACTTTGGGTAGGACTTTTAGCTCCTAGAAAAAAAAAGAATAACAACTTGTTTTAGGTTTTTTTTTTTTAATAACCAATGACTGAGTTCTGAAAAATTAAAGGCTTACAATCTGAGGAAAAAAGAAGAGATAGTTGTCATAGGACAGAATAAGCATCTCAGTTAAAGTTAGATCAGGATTTCTGTCACTTACAATTTTAAAATTTAATATTTTTTAATTCTCCACAATACCAAGAATCAATCACATGATATAAACCGATATTGTTTAAACTGTTATTTACCTAACCCAGATAAGTAGCAGAGCATAATATTCTGTGAAAAGAGATTTTGAACAATGAATGCAATTATCCAGATCTGTTTTTTTCTGCTTTTACTTCTTAAGCATTTTCCACATGGCCTTTTGGATGTCCTTGTTCCTGAAGCTATAAATGAGGGGATTGAGGAGTGGGGGCAAAACTGTGTAGAGAACAGCTGAGAGCAAGTCCAAAGTGTGGGAGGAAACACTTTGGGGCCTCATATATGCAAACAGAACAGAGATAAAAAATAAAGAAAAGACAGTCATATGGGGAATACATGTGGAGAAAGCTTTATATCTGCCTTGAACTGAAGGGACTTTTAGAACAACACAGAAGATGTAGCCATAGGAAATAAAAATGAGCCCACTACAAAATGTGTCTATAGTAAGTGCTAGAATGAAAATTACAATCTGATTAATTCTTGTATCAGTACAAGAAATATGTTGTAGATGAGGAATATCACAAAAAAACTGCTCAATTATATTGGATTTGCAGAAATTTAATCTGAAAGTGAGAGTGGTGTGCAGGAAAGCATCAATCAAGGTACTTATCCAGGAAGCAGCTGCCATTTGTAAACAGGCATCCCAATTCATCATTAGTGTATATTGCAGAGGGTGACAGATGGCCACATAACGGTCATAAGCCATGACAGTCAGCAGGGCAAGCTCAGTACCTGCAAAAGTAATAACTGAGAAGACCTGAGCAGCACATCCAACATAGGAGATCTCCCTGTTATTTGTCAAAGAAGTAGCCATGGCTTTAGGGATCGTGGTTGAGATGAAGCAAACATCAGAGAATGACAAATTTACCAAAAAGAAATACATGGGAGCATGAAGGTTCTGGTTTAGGATCACAGCAACACTAAGAAGGAAATTTCCAATTAAGGCTAATAAGTAAATGACAAGGAGCATTGTAAAATACAGAATTTGCATATCATGATCATCAGAAAATCGCATCAGAAGGAATTCTGTCACAGTGGATTGATTGCCCATTTCTTTTCTCTGACTCCTTCTGGACAGAAAGAGAATATCATAGGAAATTAATAGAAGAAATGAGGTACAGATTTAGTAATAGTAATATATGCAACCTGTTGAATAAATATATTCTTAAAATGCAAAAGCGACTATATTTTTAAGAACATATATACAATTATTATTATTATTGCCTTTTTATATTTTATATACAACAAGTTTATCAATCCCTCTCTTTCAGAGTGGGTTATATTGACAAAAGTGGCATTTAATAGAAAGAGAACATAGAAGTGATCAAAAATGTTGATGTGCTACAGCTGGTTTGTAAAAATATTTTTTTATGTTAATGAAAACTGTATTAAATATATACTTTAAAATGTACATATATTTCTCTTTTTGTCTCTTTCTCAACACTTCCCTCCACATAAATTAATAATATTGCAAACTAAATATAAAATTTGTACATATGTGTTTAAGGGAGCAATACTTGTCTTTTAGTATTTTCACTTTCCTTAAAATAACTGAGGAATTAAATGTTTATTTAAGCAACTATAATTCAACGGAAAACATTTATAGCTACATGTGGGGAGCAGGAAAGAGGAAAGAAGTTACAATAGAGCTGGAGTCCAACCCCTGACTCAAGCAGTAGACCTTATACCATCTCAGACAGGTGGCTGCTCAGTCTCTTCTTAAAGACTTCCAGAGATGAAGCACTGACAAATTCTGAAGACAAGCCATTCTGCCTCTGCCTGTGTCTTTTACTGCCTCTGTTTCTGTATCTGTCTGCCTCCACCCATCTCTCACACTCACAAGCATACACAATAATCCTCCTAGATTTCACACATTTGTAGTTGACATAAGTCCCTGAATTCACTGAAGCTCATAGTTATGTAAATGGGTGTCCAACTGCAGGATAAAGAAGTAAATGTCTTAAGATATTCATGTAAGATGTGTCAAATTAAATAAATATTGATACTGCAATCAGATCACTTAATCTTTTAAAAAAACACAAAACTATGTAAAAACTAAAAACAAAAGTACTTTAAACTACTTTCAAAGGGTTCTTTTCTGCATTATGACAGTATGGTGATATAGCTGATATATTTTTCTTGATCATATTTATCTTAATTTATTCTTCTTAGATATAAGTAAGGGCAATGCTTAAGAACAAACACATATGACTTTGATCATATATATTTTTAACACAGATAAAGAACTTTTTTACTTAGATCATATCTCAGGTCATAAAGTTGATCTCTAGTTCTATGAAAAGTAGCAAGATCCTGTATATATCACCCTAGCTAAAAGTCATGTTCAGTCCAAAAATAGATTTTCCTGCAATTATACATTATGGTCTTCTTATAAGCAATAATTCATAGCTCTGTTAAGTATTCTACTTACCAATACATCTGTTATTGTCTTGAAATATGATTGAAAGATGACAATACAAATACACCTGTGTTTTTCCACCATTTTATAGGTTCTAACTCTCCGATAAGAAGAATTGAAAGAAAAAATAATAATTATATCATCCTTGTTTTCTGTTCTGTTTTAAGGGATCATTCTCTAGAGACTGATCATAATTCTCATGCTGAAATGAATGAGTAAATTGCAAAATAAATAAATAAATGATTATCATCTACTATCACTCATCATACTCCAAGAAAAAAAAAGATGAATTAAACAAGTATCTTCCCTGGCATTCTGCTGAAAGATCCAATCATGAATTTTTTTCTCTGTCCCAAAGCTTCTCCAATGAAAATAAAATATTGCTGCAGAACACCAAATCACAAAATTTCCCATACTAAAGTTAATGATAAAATGTAACAAGTTTCTTCAATTACTTTTAGAATTTCAAGTAAAATCTGACAAAGATTAAAAATGCAACAGGGACAATCTGGGCAGATATTGAATGTTCCTGAGAAAGCTATTCCAGCTATCCTATTTCTCTAACTTAACAATCTCTTTTGAATTCCATACCCAAATCTCAGTCCCAAAAAGTACTAACAACCATTTGAAATTGCCTGATGAATATTGTGCTCTCTCAGGAACAGATTGTTTAAAATCCATTAGAATAATTTTGTTATTATCTTTCAAAATTATCTAGAAATATCAGAGATTTTGAGAAAGATAATTTGGTCCACAACACAGGTTTCATGTTTTGAAATATCTCCTAGCCCAAATCCCAGATAACATGTTTACTTGCTTGCTTACATATTATTTGTCTGTTTATCAAAAAATCTTATCCTCCCCCTCTCCTGTGAATATGTACGGAAGTGAATCGATGCATTGAGTGTTAAATTGCCATCAATTGGATATTTTTGTACATTTATTTTTTCTCTTAGAGCCAATAAGGAAGTTTGTTCACTAACTGATATCTTTGAAAAGTACAGGTTTTGTCATTAAAACGTGTAACAATAGTTAAGATTGTTACATAAGTGTACAGAAAAAGACGGAGAATGATGAAACACACTTATTTTAGAAGTTTTGAAACATCATTGTGAAATATATCATAATACCTTGATGAAGTATACTTCATTCTTCATGCCTTCACTATTACTGACAAAGTAAAATGCTTTTCTTGCTTCCCCTTGATGTTTTCCATGCCAATTCTCATAAACATTACAGCTACTTGGAACAGGTAGATGAAGTTTTTGAAGATGCACTGGTCATCTTCACAACCTGAGAAAGAATACTACACCAATTCTCCCACCCATAAGGATTTCTGATCCAAATCCATTTTCCGATAGGGACCTCATTTGCTCTTACCACATTTTAAAGCTGAACAATTTACCAGATCAGAATGGGGACAAAATTTATAAATCAATTTTGTCTAATTAAAAATGGCTTGAGACAACCTTCAGTGCTCAAATACCTTACTAAGGGGCTAAAAGTGCAAAGTCAGCCCTGTGTATTGAAAAAGTGGAATCTGGCCCACTGAGAACCACAAGAGATGCTCAAGTAAGTTCAGTCAAGACTTCCTGATTGAACAAATCAAAACTAAAACTGCAAGATCGTTATGGGTGTGGATTTGGAACCTATTGTTCATTTTCCCATAAACAAGACTGTATATAACTCTGTCTTGTCACCCTTTCAGTGGGTAGGGCATTGTATTATATTTTCCATGTAATTCAATAATCTTGGCTCAAGCAGATCATGTGGTCTCCATTTGTCAACTGGGTTCTAGGGAATTTTCCCCCTTCTATTGGGAGCTCATCTGGATTGAACAGAATACTGGATTAAGGGCAGTATTAAATTTTCTTTAAGCATCTTGTGTAGTCGCCATTCATCAAAAGGTCATGGAAGTTTTTCTTCTACAGCACAGTATTATTTTATCAGGTTATATGTTGTTTTTCTCTAAATTCCCTAATTCATACAAATCCATCTAATTTCAGTTTCAATGCTGGTGTGATTATTAGTACCTTCATAGTGCATCATGACTACTATATTTTAGATGCAGCCTATTAATAAATCCAAACATTTGTTTATTTGGAACAGCTCAAAATATCTTTATACTATGGTCAAAACAAAATTTTAGAAATGGCTCTTTATTTCATTTAATATTAAATTTTAAATGATGAGTAACTAGTTGCTCCTTTGGATATAGGTGAGATTAAAAATAAATTTATTAGAAGTAATAGCAAAGTGCAAGACTTCATTGATGTTTGATAGAATGATATAAAATCTATTTGAAGAACTTTTTTCACAACAACATTCTACTAACAGAATATTATATTTGTCAAACTAAAGACAATCTAATCAAGTTAGGAAATTATTTTTGTTTTCTGATGTTAATTTCCACAGGGCTGCTTGAATGTGTTTGTTTCAAAAGCTGTAAATGATGGGATTCAGAAAGGGAAGTAAAACTGAACATGAAACAGCAGAAAATAAGTCTACAATGGGAAAGGAAAGAAATGTTGGCCTCATGGTTAAAAAACAAATCTGTAGAGATGAATAAAGAAACAATTATCAAGTGTGGACTGCAAATTGAGAAGACTTTGCATTTGCCTTTAATTGACGGAATCTTCAGCACAGCAGAGATGATGTGGCCATAAGAAGAAAAAAATGAAGCCATTTTGTTTGTGAACCTTTTTGAATTTTTAATACTTTTGCATAAATAGGAACTAAAGCATGATCCATTATCCACACAAATCATAGATAAAAAGAAAACCGAGAAATTGAATTATTCAAAAAACATTATATTTGTTCATTTGTTTACTGAGGAAAATGATGCAAATAATAAATAATATATTAGTGTAAGAATAATAAACAATTAGGAGCAAAAGATCCAAACTAGTGTTTGTATTGCCAATTACTAGTGTAGAATTATGTCCTATATAATTCTCATCTCCCCTCCATTGCATGCAAATACTTTGCAACATAGTGTAGGGAGGCTCATTTCTATGTTAAAGTATAATATAAGAGAAGAAGAGACATGGATCCCTCATCCTTTCCAAAGGACATGTTATATTTCTCAGACTGAATACATTCAAATTAGATTAGAATTTGTTTGTTTCAGTGTTAATTTCCACACAGCTGCTTGAATATTCTTGTTCTGGAGGCTATAAATGATGGGATGCATAAGAGGAGGCACAACTATATATGAAACAGCAGACAGCAAGTCTATAATGGGAAAAGAAAGAGATTTTGGCCTCCTATATGAAAATAAACATGTAGCCATGAATAAAAAACAACCTGTCAGGTATGGAACACAAGTTGAAAATGCTTTGCATCTGCCTTCAGTTGATTGAATCTTCAGCACAGCAGAAATAATGTAGACATAAGAAGCAAAAACCAATCCAGAACAATATGAAGACACAATGAATCCAATTATCCAAATCACAATCTGGTTCACTTTTGTATCTGTACAAAAAATGTTTTGTAACTGAGGAATGTCACAGAAAAATTGCCCAATTGTATTTGGTCCACAGAAGCTTAATTGGAAAGTGATGACTGTTTGTAGAGATGCATATAGCAGGGAACTGACCCAGGAAGTAACTGCCATTTGATTGCATGCCTCCCAGTTTAGGATTAGACTATATTGTAGAGAAGGCAAATAGCTATGTAACGGTCATAAGCCATAATGGTTAGCAAGGAAACCTCAGAACATGTAAAACAAACAATTAAAACAACTTGAGCAATACACCCAGGAACAGTAATTATTTTGTTATCTGTCAATGAAACTGCAATGGATTTGGGGACTGTGGTTGTGATTAAACAAATATCAGTTAGGGACAGGTTAGCCAAAAAGAAATACATAGGTGAGTGCAGGTGGTGATTCAGGAACACAACTAAAATTATAAGTAAATTCCAAGTTAAGGCTAGTAAGTAAATGAATAGAAACATAATAAAATGTAGATGCTGTGCATCACAGTCATCAGAAAATCCCATCAGAATGAATTCCAGCACAGTGGATTGGTTGGCAATTCCAGTTCTTTTAATCATTCTGTACAAAACCAGATTTTGATTGGAGACTAGTAAACAAAATAAATATGATTACTCATATCAATTTACTGAAAGAAGATAGTTAAAATTCATTGTCAAAATCGTTGTTTCCAAATACATACATACATACATACACACACACACACACACAGAGAGAGAGAGAGAGAGAGAGAGAGAGAGAGAGAGAGAGAGAGAGAGAGAGAGGTCTTGGCGTATTCGCAAGCACGAAGCTGAAGACCCCAGCCTGAAGATGACGAGTGGGATCTCGTCAAAATGTTACCAAGATACTCTCAATCTTACACGGGAAAAGACCTGAATACGCCAAGACCTGCATACCTGTACCTGCAAAATCTATGAATATAGATTCTGTCTAAGAATTCAGAAGAAAATAAAATGCACTCCACAATACCAGGATGTTAATGAAATAAAATAATGGGCTGAAGGTAGGTGGAGAAAATTTAAAATTTAAAATAATACATTTTTCAAATTACATTAAAATATTTTAAAACAATTTTTTATGTCAGTTTGCCTATATAAAAAGTGAAGTGTATCGCTGTGTGTGCGCACATGTGTGTGTGTAAATTTGGTTATTAAGTAACTGGAGGAAAAAAATAGAACATGCAGAATTGGCAGATCACATTAATCAGAATATCACATCAGAAAAAAAAATGTCATGGTGAATTGGTTGGCTATTATGTATCCTTGAATCACTGTGGACAAAATATAATATAGATTATAAAACATGGTTACTGAAAGGAACATACAGAGAGAGGGTTTATAGCTATAGATCGTTTATATCTATTTAGTACTTATCTGTAATTAAATACTTATTCAGAACAGAGTAGTGTATTTATTCATGTAACACAGACATAATTTTTATATAATTAGATAGATATAAAAAGATAATTTTTAATTTCCAAGAAAAGTCAAATTTTACCAGAATGATATAAAATTGACAAGAGTGTTCTAATCTTTCAAATAATATTTTATAGTAGTTCATCAATTCTAATAAATAATTCAAAGCCTGCCTCATTCCTTTCTTT